GTGTGTGTGTGTGTTTGTCTCACCCCATCACTGTGAGAAGGCAACACATGCACCAGGCAGCCCTCCCAGGATGGTAGGTGACTTTAGTGGTGACAACGTGGTGGCAGTGTGGGCAGTGTACCAAACCAGGGGCTTCTCTCAGACATGTCACTGTGATAGGAACAGGCTGTGGCTGCGTCACGACTACTGGCTGAGTTTGTCTGCTACTGACAGACGGCGTTACGCCAACTGAAGTACAGAGTGGAAGGAAAGACGTGGATATCAGGAACAAAATGAGGAGCAAATTCAATATTGTTTTCACCTGCTCTGTTGGTTGGTGTGTGTGTGTGTGTGTGTGTGTGCGCGCTATTAAAGACCAATTGTAAAGATAAAGTTAATACCTTGTATGGGTGGATGGATTATGAGTCCAGTGCTTTGTGAATGACCAGCAGGTGGCACCCTGGGCGGAGTCAGGACAGGAAAAGGATCTGGCTGGTTTGTAACTGGAAGAAAGAAAGAAAGAAGAAAGAGAGAAAGAAAATGTAAAAAAGTAAAGTACATCCACATTAAGTTGGTCATTTGTAAATCTTTCTCTCTCCTTTTCTGTGTAAACTAAAACAGTATTTATACATCTTAAAACAGCTGCTTTAGTCTTTCAGAGTGAGAGGAGCTTTCAGAGGAGCAGTGAGGGTTGGAGTGACAGTGAAGTTAAGAAGATAACATGTGAGCTGCCATTTTAGATGACATTATAGACAAATACAACATGTGTCATTAGTTTGTATTTCTGTCCACAACTTTGTCCGAGTAGACTTGCATCATTGTTTTTGAAAAGCTCAGTTTACTCTATCAAAACGCAGCTTTAGTGTGGACAGAGGACCAAAACAGAGAAACAAAAGATGCATTGTCAGCCGGCTCAGTGTGAATGCATTCCCAGTACTACCTGATGAGTTGTTAATCTTATCTTACTTGCTTCCCCATAGGTGGGAGGAGGTGTAGAGGGGGGGGAGAGGGAGGCGTCATAGGAGGGGGGAGGAGGTATGTTGAATACTTGTGCGCTCAGAGCAGGAGGGTGGAGACGGGACTCCTCATATGAAGGGGGTTCCATCAGAAAATCATCTAGTCAAACAGGAGGCTGGTGATAAAGAGGAGATCATTCATATGTAACTCTTGCTGGTGTATTCTGTTATAAAACCTATATTTTCCATTATTGTTTTGTACATTATTCCTTCAAGGAGGTTTTATTTTTGTTCATTCTTAACCTTGGAAGTAGTAATTTGACAAAATTATCTTTACTCAATGTCCATTTCCTGGGGTTTTCTGACACACAGCCTTCATCAGTAGATGTTTTTTACTGAGACGGTTCAGTTGTCAAGAGACAGAAGGAAGACCGGAAACAGACAACATCAACCGTCTGTAAACAATGTTGGTCTCAGCATCCATGTCATAGTCAATGAGAAGTCAGTGGATGATAAGAGAAAGATCAAGGAGGCCAATCACATCCATACTGACCACAGACCTCCAGTCACATGATCATAATCGAATGTTGAAAACTGAGCAAACTGATAAAGACTGTGAGATGAAGTTTAAAGCTTCAGAAAAAGCTAGCAAGTAGACCTTAAGTAGGCTTTAATGTGAAAATATGAACGGACCATTTGTTTGGTTTATCCCTTCAGGACTACTGTAGAAACATGGAAGGCCACCCGTAGCGTCTGTAGATAAGGTTCATTCTAATGTAACGAAATAGCAACGATCCTTATTTCCAGGTGATTATACGCCAATGAAAACATAGTTATACATATAAGATTTCTGCCAATAGTGTGTAAATGTTACAAACTGGATCTGAATGAATATTTTTTCAAACAACATGTTTTTTGTGTAGATCCAGATCCCCATTTGACTATTGCACTTAAATAATAATAATCAGGAACATGTATCCTGTGTGATGTTTATCTGGACCTATTTGCAGATTCATCATTAGATTTTCTATTGTTATCTGATGTGCCCCATCAAGTGCTTTCTGCTTCTACAAAATGGCATTTTCCTAAAGTTTAATGCATGTACCTAGTGTAATGTACTGTTCTTACCTATTTACACAAGTACTGTACTGTACTGTACAAATTCAAGATACTTGAGTATTTCCATTTTATGCAACTTTATACTTCACATCTTAAGTTACGAGTTACCTCTCAGATTTTTTAAATGCTCTTCCTGTCCAGTTAAAACCACGTATCTCCAGATTTGGTGATTTTGAATGTTTCTGATAAAGTTAAGGATTAAATGTTTCTTTAAAGGTTGAGAAAATGCTCCTATTCTTAAGATAAAAAAAGCTAAAGCTCATGAAAAGATGACTTTTTAGAGAATCCTGTTTCTCACAGGACAGCTACATTACAAAACATATGATGATCTTTTATATAATATGATTCATTGCTGTAGAATAAACAGTAAACTGATTAAAATGAAAACAACCTTAAACATCCACAGTAATAAAATACAACATACACATTAATGCAGCAGTAATATGAATCCAAAACCTTCCCATATAATAATGAAACACTGTCAGGAACAATTCACTGCAGAAAGACTATTTTTTATAATATTTAGCTGATCTTTACATAGTTTTAGTAGCGTTTTAAAGGCAGGACTGTTAACTTGCTGTGTGATGTGAATAAAGGATCTGAATACTTCCTCCTCGCTGCTGATCTGTATTATCACCGCCATCTCTAACTGCGAACACTGCTTCTTTTTTCACCAGCCCAGTGCATATGAGGACACTGAACATGAAGTCAGTGAATCAGTGTCTAAATACTGTAGCTCCTGTGAACATACACTTATGTTTATGTACTTAAAGCTGTGTGATGTTCACACTGCTGCAGCTCTCATTCTGTTTGTGGGAGTTGCTGGTATAATCTCCTCCCTGCCCTACTATATTAGACAATAGAGAGTCACACTTGAGATTACTAGTTTGAACTTTTACCAGAGCAGCTGAGGTTTAAAGTTACAGTGTCAAAACAACATTATAGTATCGTTAGTACAAGTAGATACTATACGTACACACTGTGCTGCTATGTTATTCTCAATTACTTTCAAAGTGGAAATGAAAAAATAACTCCAAAAATATAGACAGTTTCAGTTACTATATGGTGTGATATAAGTGATTTTTATATTAGTAACATATATATTAATACAAACAGAGTAGATGCAGAGAGAATCTCATTAAGTTAAGGTAAAGCGTTTTTTTAACTGTGCCACACTCACTATTAGCTTAACCCAGTTCAAATGCTCACACTCTTACTATAAGTTAAAAATAACACAGTGTCATTATAGCACAGGTAATGCTGAATCATGTGATCCCACTTCACTGCTTCTCCGCAAGAGGTGTTTTCATGCCAATTTGTCACCTAAAACCAACTGTATCAGCCATTAAACACGCCTGCTTAATGCAGCCATGTAATTCTAGCTCACATGGGACTTGTTCTCTTATGTAAACAAGATACATCCAAGCCTAAGTATCGGATCCAAACAAGCACAGACCTGCCTCCGCCATAAATAAACGACAAAGAAAAACTGCTTGCAAAGAGTATAGCTTGTGTCCTCCTTCACTAATTTAACAGCGGGATGTGTGAGATATATCAGAGCAGTGGTCTTACCTTGGACAAATGAGGAAGCTCGGCTGGCAGGAGGAAGCGCGTATCATGTTGGTGACATCACAGCCTGTTGAACCTGTTTTCTCTGGAATTAGAAACATTTAATTTCCCCACAGACTGAAAACCAACCCTTTTTACCTGAGTCACTTGTTCAAACTCACCTTCTTCACCGGCCTCATTCAGGTGAGTTTACAGCCACCTGTTTCCTAAATGCTAAGTCAACCTCTATTTACAGTAACACTTTGTTTACAGTGCAGCAATTACCAAGATGGAATAGTTTCATATCTGCTATATTTGCTTTGCATATTTATATATTCTTTTATTAGAAATATAACATAGAGTCAAGTATGTGAATAGAAAACTAACAAGCCTTTTTCATTCATTTATCAACCTTATTATTTATACATGTTGGTCCAATGAGAGTAGTTTGCTCTGAAACCCTTTACTTTAACTACCCCATTCACCATTTATAACCAATAAACACTGAATAAACGGCTTATAAAACGCCATAATGTATTTGTTCACTATAGAGCCCCAAAGTGTTCAATACAGAATAAATAAATAAACAATTATGAAATAATCACATGAATATCACATAAAACAACAATAATTTGTACATTCATTTTTATTTTCAAATGCCTGTTTTATTTAATGTCACTTTTAATTTCGTAATGTTACTTTTTATGACAGTGAGTTACTGCCGTCTCACCTTTAAGCCAATAAAAGTGATGTTATTAAGCTTAAGCTACGAGCTCAACAACTGCTACTTGATTTAACTGTTTATTTAGTTAGTGTTATGCTAGTAGATGCTTATGTTGCAGGGATGAGGAACAGGAGCAGGCTGGTCACAGCTCACTACTTTCTTCTCCTTCTTTCTATCTTTCAATCTATTCATAATCTAATTACTTTTTTTCCACTACCATTGGTTTGTCTTCACCATTAACTTTAAATCTCTTCCTTCTCTGCATGCTGTCACCTCTTAATTGTTTTTTCACCCGTACAAGTCACAATAATGTTGACCTTTATGGCACAAGATCATAAAACTGTTGGATTAATTCAGTGTTTATCAAATGGGGGTACGTTTACCCCTAGGGGTAGTCTGGAGTACTGTAGGGGGTCAAGACATAAAAAGTAAATTTATAAAATATTAGTCATGTATAATTTATGAAATACAATAAGTTCAATAAAAAAATCTAAATGTAAGTTTGATAAACCACATTTTATATTCAATATTATTATTTTCAATGCAGTCGTTATCTGCCACAAACCGTTAACTGCAGTTGCCTCCCCGCCACCGAGAATGACAAAGATCCTCAACTCATGTTTCTCACTAAATTAACAAAGAGACTGCCAAATACAACTACAACATCATCTAAGTGTTGTTGTATGATCACAACAAATTGGTTTGCCATGAATTTAGTGATGATTCTAAACATTTGAAATGAAGCATTTGTGTTTTTCCTTCAAAATCTGATACTGATGGTGCAGCGCTGTGTTGTACATCTTTATATATATTTGTATCAAAAATGTTTTGGTCAGGGGTTACTTCACATATCACATAACTGTCTTGTATAATAAACTTATTTATGTTTTTCGTCACACTGAAAATCTCTATGTAACTGACTGATAAAAAATCAAATCAGGTGTTAAGACAAATATAAAAAGTGTTTTAGGTGCATTCAAAATAGTACAGAACATTTTTATGTTTGTAACCCAAATTCATTTTATTAAGAAAAATTGGAAGACGCTAGGTTGATCCTGATTGGCCAGAAAACAAAGTGACATCACAGCTCATCTTTATTTGTTTTGTTGGTTGGTACCTCTTCAGACTCACCAGCCTCCTGAAAGAGAGGAAGACAGCATGAGAGAGTGGTGAATAGATTTATATCTACAAAAAACATATATAAAGTAGTAGTAAAAATAGAAACCTTGCTATCTTCACCAGCCTCGTCGTCTTCCTCGTCATCGTCATCATCATCATCATCCTCGTCGTCCTCATCAGTTGCCGCCTGGGGCAACACTCCTCCACCATCCAGGAACTTGGACATGGTCTCCAGATCCCTGTTTCCAGTGTAGTCGACCACCTAAATGACAACAAAGGAGGAAGAGGCAGAGAGAAAAAGGATGAGTGGGAGAACAAAATAATAATAATAATAAAAAGCTCCTTACATAAATCATTGTACGTCTGTAAGGGGAACGTGTGTGTGAGTGTGTGTGTACCTCTTTGTCACCAGCTGGGAAGTATTTGAGTGTTGGGAATCCTTCAACGGCGACAGACTCCACTTCGTTTGCTGTGGCGTCCATCTTGGCTATGATGATGTCTTCGTGGTCAGCATACTTTTCACCCAGCTGATCCCAGATGGGAGTCAGTTCCTTACAGTGTCCACACCATGGAGCATCTACACACACACACACACACACACACACACACACACACACACAAAGGGCACATCTGGTAACTGGTTTTATATCAGTGGGTTTCCTGAAGTCTACACTGCAAAATATTATAATATTATAAGTTATTTCAACATAAAAACCAGGTTTCTCTGCTTTATTCAACTTTTTTTTTCAAACTAGAGGGATGGTTTCCGACAGGGTATTAGACCAAATACAATGCAAGCTCAGAATCATGTTATTAATGCCACATTTAGGCCATGAATGATGGAAAAACGTCCCCATATCGGCTACTGGTTTTATCACGTGTCTGCCTCTCACTCATTACTGGTGAATAACCGTCTTTCTGGACACCAGAAATAATGTTAGTTGTCTAATGTTGAGCAGCGTTTGTATTATTACAAAGTTGAGGGTCACACAATCCTGTGCACGGTTTATATATATATATATATATACATATATATATACATATATATATATATACACTGTATATATATATA